AAACAACAAAGACAAGAGAAAGAAAAAAAAAGGAAAAAAAGGAAAAAAAAAAAAAAAAAAAAAAAAAAAAAAAAAAAAAAAAAAAAAAGTAACGCAGTGCCTATCTATGAACAACCCGAGCCTCTGTACATCACACATACACACTACACCAAACGCCTCTCCCTACCTCCACCAGGACACCGGCCGATCCAAACCAACCAACCAAGGCAGCTAGCTAGCTAGCTATATCCAAAGACTATCCCCCCTAGCTGCGAGGCTTCAAGCCAGGCTGGTCATCGTCGCTTTCGACCTCCGCTTTCTTCGGCGTCGCCCCCGTGCTAGCACTGCCCACCACCGTCGGACTAGTCTCCCCGTCGAATAGGGGATCGTAGTCCTTGCTACCCGTTTGCAGCGCCTTCGCCCTCTTACCGCTCCCGCCGCCTACAGCGTGAGTCGACGTCCGCGTCCTGGATTTGCGCTTGACCTCCTCGGCTTTGACTTCCTCACTCTCCTCGTCACTCCCCACACTCTCATCACCCCGAAGAAACGCTGCTTCCTCCTCTTCTTCCTCGGGAATCGATTCGTGCCCCTCGGGCGTCTGGTTCTTGATAAACGAGTCGATGATGTAGTACTGCGTCGCGTTCATGATGACCGGGAATACCAGCATCACGAAGATGACCTGCAGCACCTCATCGCCTTCGGTCCACCTCAGCGCCCAGTCGCCCACCCGCGATATCCAAGGGAGGACCAGGAAGATGATCAGCACGCAGATCTTCATGCCCATGAGGCCGAGAAAGTAGATGATGGATTGCTTGAGCCACCACCATGCGCGGGGAGGGGAGCCGTAGTTGCCCGAGCGGATAGAGTCCGGGGGCGAGCCGAAGGGGGTGAGTGTGAAGAGGGCGGTGAGGAGGCGGAGGAGGCCGATGAGGATGGGGATGCCGATGGTAGTCTGCCATCCGTTAGCCCAATCCCGAATTATCTCCCAAAATCTGCCTCTCTTGTGGAGTCGATGTGAACGCTGGGCAAGACTTCAGGTGGACCTACATCAATCGCCAGGTTCAGCAGGTAGAAACTACACGGATTTGGCGAATAGTGGGCGTCATCATCCTCCACCATCCTCCTCGCCGCCGCCACGGCCGTCGCGTCCACCTTGATACTAAACTGGCCACTGCTCAACATACTCATGAGCAGATTCGCACTATGCACCAGCACGCTGCCCACCACCTGTTTACTCGCGTCGAAGAACCAGATCTTGAGCGGGCGCTGCGGACGCTCGTGGTACCGCTTGTAGACTAAGGCCATCAGGGCGCAGAGGCCGAGGGAGCCCTGCACCAGGATGGCGAAGGGACCGAGGAGTTCGCACTCGCCATTCTTAGGGGCGCCGTCGTGCGGCGCGGATGTGCTACTGGATGCTGCTACGGCTGCGACGGTGGTGGAGGTGAGGGCAACGGCTGTTGTGAGGGCGGCGGCGAGGAGGGTAGAGGTTGGCGAAGAGGCATTCTCGACGGAGGTGTAGGCCTCGAAGCCGGATGGGGGGAGCATTTATTTCGTCTTGGGAGGTTGAACCTGGTTTCGGATTCGGGTTCAGGTTCAGGTTCCGATTCTGAGATGTGAGGTTGCTTGGTGTTGTCGCGAGGTGCCAGCAGATAATCGCTTGATGTCTTTGATGGAGCTTTTCCGTCCCTCTGGTATGTTCTCTCCACGGTGTCTCCTCCCTCCCTTTGCGTGAAATATTCGTGCCGTCGTACAGGCAATCCGCCTTGCACGTAGCGCGTAGAGTAGGTCCTGGTGGCGGCGGCCCCAAGGCAGAGGGTAGGATGTCCGGTGATGGGATTTGGTTTTAATGCTCCTGAATCAGGGTCTGAGTCTGGACCTTACCTGTGACGCACGCGGCCCTTGATCACAATCAACAACAGGAATGCGGGTATAAAGCAGAAAGGAATGAAGCGGGTTATTGTGATGGTCAAGAAATCGAACAGACAGAGGTACCGGAGAAGGAGACGGAGAAGGAGAAGGAGAAGCAGAAGAGATGAATCGATAACATGCTGAGCAGTCGCACTGCGGACTGTGAGAGGAGGCTTGGGGACAGCTGGGAGGTGGCACTTGGCTAGCGAGCGCTTTGGGGGGGGGCAAAGTCCCGTGCAGCCTTTACATTCAAGGCATATGCATCACGTGATTACCTGTCCGTGTCTTTGTCGATTTTGATGTCTACTTGACTTTCTCCGGGTTCGAATTTCTTCTGGCTGTAATAGAGTCATCGTTGAGGAAGAGAGTGAGGGAGGGAGGGAGTGAGTGTATCCCTATAGCAGGAAGCAAGGGTAACGGCGATTCAACAAGCCGTCAGCCAGCTGGACGCAGTCTTTATATACAGTCGCAGTTCTGACTTGGCCTGACTCGGTGCCCTCTGCCAATAAGCGGCACAGGATTAGACATTGCAGAATCTCGAGTCGTCCCATCTCGGGTACTCCAGATTCTCTACGAAGGAGCGGGATGGAGAAACGCAAACACCAACACCGTATCTCCGTTCCACAAACACCCGGCAGCATCTGGCATCCGCGCGATGGAAATGTCACCAAAACAAGTGTGTCTAGTGCAAGAGTTCACAGGGAAGCATCGATTCATTCCATCGTTATCATCATCAACATCAACATCAACATCCCCGCATCGCATCGCAGCATCACCTGGTATCTCCCACCCCATCCCATCCGATCCCTAATATGAACGACGAAGAAAAGGAGGAAAAGAAAAGAAAGGAAACCACTGCTTGCTGGCGTCCGAAAGCCCCCCCTGCCTCGCACAATCCACGCATCACATCACAGCTCAGCTCAGCTCGGCTCAGCTCAGCTCGGCTCAGCTCAGCTCAGCGTTGCCCACTCACACCCGCCGACCCGAGCCGCGAGGCTATGTAGGAGATGTGGTGTATCGTATTGCCGAGAAAACCCGAGTGGTGCCAGATGTGACATGATGCGAGTCGATAGGAGAGGGGACAAGCGACCGTGTGCTGCTGCCTAGTTGGGGCATGACTGGAGGTAATTCATCCATCAGCTCTCCACTCACTCTCATCAACACACAGGGGGACGCGTGGGCGAGGAAAGGAAGAGCAGGAGGAGGGAGAGGACGTACCGCGCCGCAGGAGCCACAGCTCTTGGTGCCGTCGGAGGTGGCACCGCACTTGGGGCAGGAGTCGTGCTTCATCTTGGCTGTGGGTGGTCGCGTTGTTGGAGTTTGGAGATGCTTGGTTGGGGTTGGGGTTGGGGTTGGAGTTGGAGTTGGAGTTGGAGTTGGAGAAGTGGAAACTGAAGAGATACCGGGACTGCTCTTGTTATTATGCAGCGAGAGGGCGTAGTCAGCAAAGAGACAAGTAGTACCGGGACTTAGTAAGAGGCCAGGTGCGGGGGAACTACTTACCGGTAACCTCGATCCGATAGGGCAGCCAATCTACGGTGGGCACGTGGACTCGTCAGTACGGTACGGAGTGAGTAGGTAGAGAGATGCAGATACAGTAGTACCGGTACTTACAGTAGTAGTACCGCTAAGTGAGGGATCTTCATACGGGATCTTCCTGGGGCCTTATCTCATCTCCCCCCCCCATTGCTCGCTCGCTCGCCCCGCACAAGCCCATTGCTTGCACGCACCGGAAACTGGGCGGGAAGTGAGAAATACCGAGACCAAAAGCTGGCATGGACCATGACATGAGAGAGTGCCCCCAAACAATCCAATCTTGAATCTCCGCCAGGTACCCCATCCAACATGGCCCCTTCGTGTCTTGTTTCGGTCATGGAGGCATTGAGAGAGAGAGAGAGAGAGAGAGAGAGAGAGAGAGAGAGAGAGAAGTCTGGTCGTCGTGCCCAGTCCGAAGACAAAAAGCCCAAATGTATGTCAATTTGAAAGCCTATCAAACAAGCGACCGGGCCGATTTAATATGCAAGCAGCAGCGCATGTGCCTAAGACCAAAAGCAGAATGCCCAGCCATATGTCTTCATCAGACAAGCCAACCGCGACCGGCGGAATCAGCGTAAACAGTCAATCAGAGAAAGCCATGTCGTCGTCGCATCCCCCCTCCCAACGCCTATCTCAAGTGAAGCAAGCCCCTAACGAAACCAAGGAAAGAAGATTTTCTAGTTATAGCATTCGGTGAATGTGATAGAAGATGCCCTTTTCCCACAGAAGAACCAGTGCTCGCACTGCCCTCCCGCAAGTCGGACATGTGCGTAGACGGGCCTACGATGGGCCTGGCTGTTGGAGTGCGCGTTGTCGATGCGTGTGTTGATTCTCCAGACGCATTCGCAGGCCCGTCTACATGTTATTCGATACCGTGCTTTTTCTTGAGCTGCTCTAAATTCTCCTTGCGGGCCTCCATGTCCTCTTTCGAGCGGGCCATCTTGTCTGGCTGGTGGTATAGTACTGCAGGTCCTGTTAGAGATGGTCGTGTGCCGGTGGTCGGGCTGGGGAACGTACCGACGAGGTACCGATTTTGAAAATTGAAGCCGTTCAGCTTGTCGCACGCCTGCTTCGCATCCATGACGTCCTCATAGACCACGAATGCCGTGCCCTTGGTATTGTTGGCGATGCCCTGGCGGATTTGTCTGCCTCGTAGTCAGCACCTTCGTCCATCCCTTCGAGGGGGCCGTAGCGTGGGACGTACCGGATAGGCCCAAACTTGCCAAACAGATCGAAAAGTTCCTCCACCGCGACGTTGTAGCTGTTTCCCGTCAGTATATTTTCACCCTCATCTTCTCCTAATCTTCTCCCTCATCGTCACCCCTCCGCCATCTGCCGAGCGCGTGTGTCTGTCTTTGTGTAGGTATGTGTATATGTATATATGTACATGTATACATGGTTAGGCAGATGCCTGGGCTGGGGGCTTCGACGGACCTCAAATTCTTGATGAACAAAGCACTACACAGGTGTTAGCATGGTCCCGCGGTTCCAATTTCAGTTCCAATTCTTCTCTCCGGCATGATTCGTGACGGCGACATACCGATTGACCTCAGGTGCGAGTTTACCACCTCGACTCATAGCTTGGCTGCGGATTGCTGGATATGGTGTGATAAGTAGTGGATGGAGATGGTGGCGAGATCGCGATGTGGTACGTACAACTAGACATACCAGGTCACGAGAGTGATGAGCTTTGACACTTGTCCGGAAGAGGGAAAAGATGGGGTAGCCAGCTAGCGTCTTTCAGGACTAGGCTAGTGGAGGCAGTGAGTTTCAGTCCTGATGGCCCATCTTTCGGTTTATATTTCTTCCCGTTCAAGTCACCTGATCATGGGGATTGATCTATCACGTTACCATCGCGGATAAATCATCCTCCGAGGATCTGAGCAACCTTCCCTCTCTCTCTCTCATCAATCCATCCGGAGAAGAGAAGAACTTCCAAACAGCTTCGCCTTCTACTATACTAGAACTGTAGGTCCAAGACGTGTGCTCGCGATATGGAGTCACTGTCCTTCTTTCTTTCTTCCCCGTCAGTTCCCATCCTAAGCTTACTTCAACTTGGCATTACATATGTATGGTTCTTTGTAACTCTGCTCCTCTGCGGCTGCATCAACTTGATTTTTGATTCTATTCGCAGTGTGCGATGCTCTGGGTATATCAAAGCTCATATGCGAACATTCTTATCCTGTATACTTTGACGCTACAAGGGGATACTGGCAAGTGCTGGCAGGTGTCCGCATATATGAAGACCGGATGTTTTGAGCGCCTTAGGGAAAGGGGACGACAGTTGTATGATATCCCTCCCGAGTTGGAAAGCAGATAACTACAGCAACTTCCTATTTCTCACGGGCCAGAATCCCGATGTTCAGAGTGAGACTGCTCTCTCTGCATTTGATAGAAATTTGCATTGCTTGATTTACCTTATTAGCTACGCTTTCACCCCAGACAGATACTCGAATCTATCGCACGCCGTTCTGGTTCCAGGTTCATCTGATAGCACACTTATGGCTCGTTCCCTCTGCTTTTTGGGCCCGTATCATCTCCGTTTTCTCTCCCACAATTCACCATCTGAAGGGCCGAGGCTCCTCGACATTCACCTCTGGTACATACCTTCTTTTGGCTGGTATATCAGAACCTTCCTCCGCAAACTTCTGCTCCTTCTCTCATAACAGACATACGGAGAGTCCAAGCTTTCAACGCTACCCAGCCATATCAATGCGATCTATCTCTTATCACTCTCGTCACCATTGACTTCGAAGGGTCCTCGCATTCCCAAGCTTACTTCCCTGACAAAACACAATAACAACGATGTCTGTCCAGTCCAGCTCACCCCTCTCCACCCACCTCACCACCCGGAAGAAGCCCCTTCTCTCCTCCGCCGAATTCGAAAAAGCCGCCCGGCGCGACCGCGCCGCCAAAAAGCGCACCGCTTCCAAAAAACAACGAACATTTCCGCCACCCCGCCGCCCTTGGATCTCCAACGACCGCATCGCCAGGCTCCTAACTGAAGCGCAAGCCCAGCACCTCTCACGCCCAAAGGAAGAATTAGAAGAACAAGTGAAGAGCGAGCTGCAGAATGAGTGGTGGCTAATCGTCGAGGACTCGCTCAACCTCTTCTGGGACCGAATACTGTGTCCGGGATGCTGCACCATTTGCGGCGCGGCTGGGTTGGCTGTGAACGGTCAAGGGCAAGGGGCTATAGATGCATGGTTGGAAAACCTCGGAGAGGAGATGGAACAGTGCGATCTGGAAGTGCTGACTGAGGAGAAAGTTGAGAAGTGGGATGATGCGCTCTGGGATATACTCAATGGTATCACAGCGACTCGTAACGGGTTGTGCGTCGCGCAAGCCGAGTTCAAAGCCGCTGCTAAAGCGGAATCCGAGCGCTTGAAATTCGAAGCTCAAGCTCTCAAATCCACCACAGCAGCCGAAACTGCTGTTGAGGAACTGGTAGAGGTAGATCCCCTAGCGGAATTTCAGCAGTTCGCGGCTACTGGATCCCCAACCATGCAGTACAGGGATAGCATGGAGTATGAGCCTGAAGGGTATGGAGAGGCTGCTGATAGCGAGGATGAGAGGGGCGATGTGTTCTCGAATGCGAAGACTGTGAGGAGGAAAAGACAAAAGGTGTTGAGGTGTTTGGAGGTCATCGAGGTGATGCCTCCGATCCAGGAGGTTGATGAGGGGGGCTTATCTCCAGAGGAGAAGTGGCTGGTTGATGAATTGGATGACGAAGAGAGGAGCGAGAATGAAGAGACGATGCCATTTTTTGATGAAAACTTCAAAGCCGGCGAAAGATTTACAAGCAGCGCAGCTGATCAGATCCCGTCTAATCAGCTCGATGAAGATGAAACCACCGAGGTCGAAAAAGCTACAGCATCGACAACATTGAACTCTCAAAATGCCGACTCCTCTGCGTTCCGTCGAATCACGTTGGTAAACGTCAACTCGGACTCGGAAAAACCAGACGCCATAAGTGATGTCAGCAAAGCCGGAGAAATGCAACGCGGACGCAAACGTCAGAGAACAGAGGAGCCTCATATCCCTATCAAGCAATTCAAGCTCGACGACCCAGACTCTGGCCAAGAGGATGAAGACCTAGAGTTGTTCTTCGTCACTGCAGATACCCAAAAGCATAGCGATGTTTCACGAACCCGGCAATCTGACGCGCCGTTGGGTGACGCAGATGTTGAGTCTCTGTTTGCGGGCAGTGACGGGGATGGTTCAGATGAGGATGCTCTCTTCGGTGCAGGTCATGCTGCCATGGACGAGGAGCTTGATATAGATGTGGCTACTTTCTCCGATGCTGACGATGCTGCTGCGTATGAAGAGATGAAGGGCCAGGGGGACACGATCTATCGCACTATCGAAGAGAGCGAGGATGAGGGGGGTGGTGGAGACGTCGAATCGCTGTTTGGGGGCAATGATCATGATCCTATGGATATTGAAGATGCTTGGATAGATTGGGAGAAGGAGGGACATGGGGCTGTGAAACGTGTGGATAGAGAGGAGAGCGAGGAGAGCGAGGAGCTGTGAGGTTGATCTGCGTCGATTTGAAGTGTGTGTCCCATTGCTTTGGATGCTTGCCGCAATCGCTTGTCCCTTTCCTTTTCTTTGGCTTTATATGCATCATGCATTGGATTTGAATAATCAACATATTGCTTCCCAGTCCGAACAGTGATGCTATGCTGCTATGGCCACGCTGCTCGGTCATGTTGTGCTACGAACCATGCCTATGGACACGACGGGAGGCTCCTTGCTCCTTCCCCTACAGGCCAACAGAGAGGCGGCCCTTCTCAGCCACTCCGCTTTCATTTAGGCGAAAGTAGCGTATCACGGGACTGCAGTCCTCTCCGTCTCTATCCCCATCCTCCTTCATCCATTCTTCAATCCCAACTTTGAAGTTTTCATTGACACATTTTCCCACTCCAGCAATCCGATACCTTTGACACAGGACAGCAGCTGACTTCGGCTCATCTCGTCGAACTCGCCTCCAAAATTTTACGTACCGGAACACCAACGTTGGGCAGCGGAAGAAAGCCCTGGGAGTGAGTCGTTGTACCATAGTATTCTATTCCAAACTAACGTATCGCAAGGAATCGTGGCAAGGCCTGGTCACCCTGGAATTGCGTGTGGGAGGCAAGCGGTAAATCTACTCAGCCCATGCGCACCTTCTATTCAACGCATCGCCCTGGTTGAGGAAGCAAGCCAGCGGTATCAAGTCGGGGATATGCAACGATGTTATTCTGCCGCTCGATAACCCGAATGTCATAGAAGACTTCATGAATTGGCTCTACCATGGCCCGGCTGCGTTGGCCACGGTCCTCAAGTCTCGGAGAGTCTCTGACCTGGTGGATCTCCACCTGTTCGCGGACAAATACCAGTGCAGGAACGAGTTGAAGAACGTTACTATGGATGCTATCCAAGATGTTCTTTGCATCGGTTTCATCTTCAACTCAAAGGACACAAAGAGCTACAGACGTAATGCCCGCAGAGGAGATTGAGAGGATCTTTGCTAGTACCAGAGCAAGCTGCAGCAACGCCCCTCTCAGAAAATTTTGCGCCGCAACAATCGCAAATCTGCAGCACTGCCGTCATCAAGACTCTCGCTGGTCTCTTGACACCATTTCAGATATCTTCGACAAGTGCCCGGTCTTCTAAGGGAGTATCTGACCTTGGAGAGAGAACAGGCTGGTACGAGGGGACTCCGCGGAGTCGCACCTTATTTCAGATATCCACGCGTTAACATCGATCATCTCCACCTGTGCTACTTTCACACCCACAATCCGGGAGAGCCATGTATCTCGGCTCCCAACTACCCTCTGCAATCTCGGGCTACATGATGGTAACAAATTTCCAGTCACCCCCTGCAGCATTTGATGTGGCTGACAACTTCACGAGCAGTTTGTTGTGAATCTGGGATTTTGGTAGATGTTTCTTCAGCAACGTGTTGGAGTGGAGGAAAATCAGCTGGTACTTGGCTTTCGACCATTTCCTGCATTGCGCAAATTGAGCGTTGCGATTTGTACAAGCCTGACAGCTTTATCTTGCGTGGACGCGACTCAAGTTCAGATAGCGATATGTACGATGAGAGGTGGTTGAGGAGGTCTGCAACAGCCAGTATGAAATTGTATGCTTCGTAGTGAAGATCATTTGCGGCCTTCAAATTGAGTTTGTTGACGTTGTTGAAACTGTGACGAAGGGAAAGGGGGGCAGGTATGGTACATGCTCCGTAAAGAGATCTGAGGCGGGACTACTGCATCCTCAACATAAACCCTCCATAACTCCTCCATAACTCCTCCACGACTTGACAGCCTCGATCGCTATTCTCCCCATTGCCAACCAAACCGCATTTTCCATCTCAGAGCCCGCTGGATAACCGAGATGGGCTCTCTTGCGGAGGGATCCGCGTCGCAAGAGGAAGAGATCACAGTGCTGGTCACTGGCTTTGGCGTGAGTACGCTATTGACTCCGGCCCGCAGTCGCGCGCCCCAGACTACCTACTTACTACCTACCTGGGCACACGACGGGCCCGGGGCATTTCAGATCGTCAAATCTGCAGTTTTCTTTTCTGGTAGCCCTCGCAGCGCACATGATGGGGAACAGAGACATGCTCGAGACAGCGGCTGACACGAACTGTCCTCATGTAGCCGTTCCGCGCCCAAAACCCCATCAATCCCTCCTGGGAGATTGCGAAAGGGCTGCCGCCGTTCCTCCCGCCTTCCGAGTTCCCCCCTCTGGAAGTCTCGGCGATCGCGAAGGCCGTCCCGGTGCGGATTCTGGTGCACCCCGCGCCCGTAAAGGTCGCGTACAAGTCCGTGAGGGAGCTGGTGCCGGCGCTGTGGGACGGGAGGAAGATCGACTATGCGATACACATCGGCATGGCCTCGGGGCGGAAGTTCTACAGCGTCGAGAGGCGTGGACACCGGGATGGGTACACGATCAAAGACGTGGATCATGAGCTGCTGGGAGACGAGGAGCGGCGGAAGAGAGAGGGAGACGGCTGGGTGTGGAACGGCATGCCGGAGGAACTGCTGAGCTCGATCGATGTCGATGATGTGTGGAAGCGGTGGAGGGCTGCCCTGCCGGGAACGGATGTGAGGGTCTCCGAGGACGCTGGACGCTACCTCTGCGACTTCATCTACTTCTCGAGTTTGGCGCATCTGGCGAGGAAGGGGGAGGACCGACGAGTGGTCTTCCTGCATGTCCCTGTCGCCGCCGACGAGCTGGCCATCGAGAACGGTATCGAGATCACGCTTGAGCTGATACGGGCGATTGTCCAGAGCGGGCGGATGAAGCAGGTCCTGGCTAGACGACGAAGCTCTCTGGAGGATGGCGAGTGACGAGCGAGATGATGAGCCGAATACATACATTAGCGGCACGGATTCGGATATCACGAAGGGGGCCATCCTTCCGGCTCCCAGCATGATCATGTTTATACGAGACAACACGACTTCAACATCAACAACTGCGGAGGTAAGCTTGGGCTTGCAACGGAGGTCCGGGCAAACCATATATTTGTAGGCGATATGGAATTGTGACAGGAATTTTCGTTTTCAGAGTCCACTTGTTCTATTTGCCGTTCGTTACGAAGACGTGAACTTCCATTCTTTGTTGCTGACCATGCTTAGTCCCTGTCCGTACTACTACTAGCTATCCTTTTGCATCCAATGTACCAGACAGCTTCTTGGGCAAGATCCGCTTGTCTGATCCCAAACCTCCTCGAGTTCTCTCCTCCTCATTCTCCAAAATTAACCCTGCAGTTCACCCTCCTCAACGCCCTCCAATCTCAACATGGCAATCTCCTCCCTCCTCGCCAACTTCTCCTTCTCCCGAAAGCTCAAGCTCGTCAGATTATCCGGATCCACACTCTCGTCATCATACTCCCTTCTTTTCGCCCAGCCGATCACGCTCCGCTCCTCTATCCCGACCGTTCTGCTGATCCGGAAACACATAAACGGGAGGCCCTCGTCATCGTAGGTATCGACGAACCGCAACGCCAGGGACCCGTTGGCGCTGATGGGGGGCAAGGCCGCAAAGAACTGGCTTCCGGAAGGAAGGTTGAGGATATCGAAGTTGCGGAAGATGGTGGAGGGACAGGCTCGGGAGGTGTTAGTATATGGCTGTGGCTTGTTGAGCCTTTACCCTGATGGAGGGGAGGGGGACGCACGGTAGATGGCTTCGTAGGTCCCGTACTTGAGGATCGCCGTGTACGGATGCTGCTCGTGTCCACTGGAATCCCGCGACGGGGAGGAGATGTCTGCTGGGGAAGTCCGTCTCCGAAACTGCACTCGCTCGCCGCCGTACTGGGTGTGGACTTGCGTTTCGCCGTTGGAGTTGATCTCAACTTTCCAGACGATGTCGTAGATGGCGATGATTTTGCCCTCGGACATCTTTTGCGGTGCCATCGCGGTAGTAGATGGGTATCCTTCGACGTTAAACGGTGAGAAAGAAGAACCTGTGGTATTGGCGAGATCTTTATGGAGAAGAGCAGGCATTGTTTGTTAAAGCCGCTCTCAATGTCCAGACTGCTTTCTTCGCCAGTTTGCGTTTGGCTGTTTTCCTCGGCATCTTTGGTAGCCAGTTTGCGTTTGACCTTGGGTGTTTGTTTATCTCGATTTTAGTTCATTGAAGGAAATATATATGCACTGTGCAAGAAAGCTGGCTATGTGGATCGGCACATCATTGTTCTCTATTAATTGGAGAAGTCATTCACGCTTTCAGATTCTCTAGATCTCATTCATTTGAAAATGTCACGTTTCTACCCGCCGATCGTCGCGACTCGCTTAGGTCGAAGAACGTCGGGAAATAAAGATCGAGCCGCTCCTTCCTCTCCAGTGCCCGCAACTCCAACTCTACCAAGCTCCAACCCAACATCAAAACCAAGCTCAGCATCCCACTACATCGTTACGTCTGAAGCGTCGGATCCGTCCCCTGGCCGTGGCGCCGATGGGAACCGCGAAGTCTGTTATTACATACGATATCGTGTGGTGCGCGGAGCCTCATGCCGTGTTTCCTGAGGGCATTGGTGATAGCGTTCGCTTTTCGCAGCATCCAAGTCATGGGGGGGAAGGGAAATCGATGTGGCAGATTGCCTTTCTAGTTCACGGCTTCAAGTGCATCTACGGTACGTCTCCCCGCCTGCTGGTGTGTGCTCTTTCTTCCGCCCCCGCATAGTACTGACTCTTGGGATTCCCAGACGTGACCGACCCTCCGATCATCACCTTCCTGGAAACCCTCCATCTTCGCGCGCCGCCACCCCGTGACCAACACGATCTCCACCTCGGCAAGTCCAAGTGCCAGTCCCAGACCCAGATCCAGAGCCAGACCGGCGAGGGAGAAGCAGAGAGAGAACTGAAACCCGCGTCCGGCTTCGTGGCGACGGCCTACCTGCGCTTCGTCCCGGACCAGGACGAACACCGATACCCGTTCCTCTACCTCGACTTTGACTTCCACAACCCGTGGCACGCGCCCGCGTCCCGCAGCCGCGTCGTCGGCTGGGCCAAGCGGCGGTTCGCGCCGGAGGGCTTCGAGGCGACGGTGGTGACCACCAAGGAGCTGCACGTGCTGCGCGAGCGGCCCGAGATCGCCATGCGGGTGCTGGAGGGCGATTTCCGGTTCAAGGACCAGGGGGAAGGGCAGGATGGCTGGGGGGTGCGGACGCGGGCGCTGGTGAATGCGCATCTGGCGGCGTGAGGCGGCGGACAGGCGAAAAATGACGGCGGCGCTTGCACTTGCACTTGGAAACGGGGGAGCTGGCTTGGGATGAGGTATGAGGTTTTGTAGATAGATAGAGAGGGAGGGGACTTTGAGTAAGAGGGGGGCCTCGTTGAAATATTATTCGTGGTCTTTGGCATCATCGCCATCATCATCGTCATCTGTGTTTTCCATGCGGCAATGCTCGTCAGATACTTTGATTCAGTAGGGAAGTGGTCATGTATTATTGCATGTACGTGGTATGATGTTGGACACCATTATCATTATCTGCGGCGGATATGTAGGTCGGTCATACGGCTTGCTGGCTGGCCTGTTTGTAATTCTGTATCCTTTTCCGAGAGGTTAGACGAGGATTCGCTTATTTGAGCTATCGTCCCTCCCCGATGCAGAGAGACGAGGAAGAAGACGAAGACGAAGACGAAGACGAAGAAGAAGAAGAAGACAGGAATCTCTATCCGTCTACAGACGCCGGGAGCGGGTCTTTCTCTTCCCTTCTCTTCCCTCCCAACTAGATGGTAGGCGGAAAGGGTGGGCCACCTCTCGCAATGATCCTCCTTAAACAGCCCAGCCTCGGCACGTGTCGGTCACGGTCACAGCCACGACCTCGGACACGTGACTGCAGATCGGATCCGTCGATTCCGGGGTACCGACCGCACTGACCACCACACCGCCCCGGGGAAGCAACATGGATTGCTGGCTGGCGGCTGCTGGCGGGGAGGAGGAGGGATGGAGGGATGGAATGGAGGTACTCCGTAGCCTGTCGATCGAGGTACACGTGATATTTCCGTTTGGTCTGACAGTAAGTACCGGGTACGGTAAGCGGTATGATTGTCTGTTTACTTCATACGTGCATTGTGACGAGTCTATTTGTAGAGTGCTACGTACTTAGTAGTACTTAGTAGTACTTAGTAGTACTTACTACTACTTACTACTACTTACTCGCTCGTCGGTTTTACCTTGGCTGTACTACCCACGTACGACTTGCTGTCCGGTACCGTACCGTACGAGTACCCTACAAATACAGTACTGACTAACTACTTTTTACTTCGTACTAAACTTGCCCCTACTACCGGTACTCCCACCCGTCTATTCCATCCGCCGGGTCCCCGAGCTTAATCGATCGATCCCGTGCGCGCGTCCACGGGCCACGGGCCACCGTCCACCGTCCACCGTCCAGGCGGCGGCGGTAGAAGCCTTGCGGCCTGCATTTTTTAGCGACGACGGACCACTAGTAAAGGACTGTAGTTGTGATTGGCACAAAGTGTATCTATCACTTTTCGAAACTTTCTTACCCCTTACTATGCTCAGGAGTCAAGCAGGACCAGGCTCCCGTCTCCCGTCACCCGTCACCCGTGACCCTGCCCGCTCTCCAGCGAAAAAACAAACGCGTCGCGTCACCACCACACGATTCGGATCGGATCGGGACGTGGGGTCGTTCGGTGGACTCCAATCCAGCCAACCCATCCATCAGATCCAACAAATCCAATAAATCCAACAAATCCAACAATTCCACCCCGACCACTCCGACCACACCGACCAAACCGATCAAACCGACCAAACCGACCCAAACCGACCCCAACCGACCTGATTCGATCAAACTCGCCTCGCCTCGCTTCGCCACGCTCACGGATCACCTTCAAGACCCTTCACCCTTCACCCTTCACCCTTCACCCTTCACCCTTTACCTTTCACCCTTTACCTTCACCCTTTTTACCTTCACCCTTTACCTTTCCCCCTTCAATTCGCCCGCCCCACTTCCATCCCGCCGAAGGGGCTCGGCCAGACCCGCATGGGAATTATCAGAATAAGAAAGTAAATAATCTGCCCTGCCGGAGAATGACTCGGAGTAAGTCATCATCCGTTCCCATCCAACCCGTCTGCTTCTTCAACCGCCTCTGCCTCTGCCTCTGCCTCTGCCTTCGCCTCTAGCTTACCCCTTACCCCCTACCTCTACCTCTACCTCGACCTCTACCTCCCCCTCTACCTCCCCCTCTACCTCCCCCTCTACCTCCCCCTCCCTCTCCTCGACCTTGAAAGCCTATTCGTCCGTGACGAAAGTTGAGCCAGTCGCTCGATACATCCTCAAGTACATCCCCATCTACATCCCCATCATCCTCGCCCCCCGCCAATCCAGCATGGCGACGCTGCAGAAGCCGTCCTCGCGCCTGAACCGACTTTCCGCCTTCCTCCCAACCCTCCTGACGACCCACGAAGCTAAGCGTTCCAAAGACAGCGAGTTCGAGAACAAGAAAGTCCTGCGCAAATCAAAGTCCCAGCTGGCCCTCCCTCTCGTCGTCGACAAGGAGCTCGGCCCGCCCTCGAGACGGGCGTCGGTAGCACCTCCCCAGCGCGAGACCCGAAGCCCGGCGGCCACCCCCAAGAAGCTGCAGAAGCGGCAGTCGCAGCCCCAGCTACAGCTACCGCCGCTGCCGCCGCCGCCGCCGCCGCCGCCGCCCCCGTCCGATTCACCCATACAGGCCCGGCGCCCGAGAGATGCGTCGCTGAGCCCACCCAGTCTGGACCCCGAGTACCGAGAGAGACCCAAGACAAGCTCGTTGCTGCTGCCCAGCCCGGACCAGCGCCGCTCCGTCTCGTCGCCGTTGACCCGGAGGCCGGCTTCGACTCACCTCTCCGTGAGCGAACATGAGGGGAAACAGCAGAAGCGGAGGAGTTGGATGCCGGGACCCAGGTCGAAACCGTCGAAATCGTCGCAGGATCTCGAGCCGATGCCGCCCCGTGCCTGGGTCCTGGCAGGAGGCAACCAGATCGACTATAGTCTCCACTGCTTGCTGGAAGGGGAGAGGGTGAGTGAGCCCGGGGAACGAACCGAGGAAGGTACGACGGAATGCTGACGGGAGTAAGCAGATACCAGAATTGTGGGATGAGAGCCCCGAGGCGAACATGTTCGTATATCTGCACCCCAAGTCCTCCGGTCGAGGCCCGCAGGTCAAATGCCGCTCGGTGGTGGTCCAATGCTCGCAGCCCCTCCTGGATATCATCTACGACAATACCGCGAACAGTGCTGCCGAGAGCGCCGGATCGCGACATGCAAGTCTCGACGACCGGCCGAGTCTGACCGGCGAGGATGCAACGCGCCACTTGGCGATGCAAGGTCTGGAATCTCCCCTGGACACGCCCCAGGGCCGATCAGACAACGTGCCCGGCGTGGACGAGTCCGGGGGCGGGTTCAGCCACTCGTACGCCGACGCACCCCGCGACCTGCACCTCTATTACCCGGTAGAGTTGTCGTCCGCGGGTCCCCAATGGTCGGCTCAGGATGTGCAGAAGCTTGTCGACGCCCGGAACCTGTTTGCGTTTTTCAACGGCCAGCCGCTGATCTCGACGCCAACCGCTCCTTCCCTTTTCAATATCTTCACTGCCATCGGGGACGCTCTCAAGCGCTTCGAATTCTACAGCCAGGATGGGACGGGCTACGGAGAGGAGGTCGATTCGAGTTTCGCTTCCTACCTGGCGGAGATGCGACTGGGGGATGTTCGTCTGAGCAGAGAGAAGACAATCGAGGGGCTACTTCTCGGAGAACGAATGAGGTGTTCACCACTCTACAACGAATCATTTGCGCACGCCGTCGGCAAATTCGAATCGATCAAGGGCCTCAACCTGTCCATTTACCGCGAGCTCTCCCCAACCACCCAGCTGCAGCTGCAGACCTCGTCACGGGACCTCGCCCGAACCCAAGACGCCATCAACATCCGCCTCACGGATTTCGAATTCCCTTCCATATTCTCGGGCATCGGATCATCTTCCTCGATGGACGAAGCCAAGGTCGTCCGCTTCAAGATGTGGAAGATGCATTTCCTCGCCATGCGGAAGCACGTGATCACGTTCTACCGGGACAAATACGGCCAGTGGCCCCCGAAAGCCAACAGCAAGAAGAACAACTTCAATGTGGGTGGCCTCAACCGCCTGGTCCTGAAGCTCCTCTATGCCGACCTCTGTGCGCTCTACGACCTGCTCGTCGACCGCACCGCCCTCACCACGCGGGGGGTGCTCGAATCGGAAGATCGCGACGGTGGTCTATCCGTCACCCCCCAAGCCGCGGCCCTCCGAAAGCTGCTGGCTGAGTACGACCGCGCCTCCCCGCCCGTCCAACCGCCCATCCCCTTCGACACCCCGCTCGTCGCCACCATGGCCGCGCTCGACCCGCGCTACAACACCCTGTCCCCCAAAGACCAACACAAACTCGCCCATCGCCGCCTCAAACCCCACGAGCTCGGCCTGCTGCAAGAGCGGACCCACAACCAAGACGTCAACCTCAAGACCCCCTTCGTGCAAGCCTTCCGCGAATTCGAGCTCAGGGAAGGGAAGGGCAAATCGGCCGCCGAGTTCCAGGAGCAGCGCTTCGGCTATTGGATCTTCCTGTACGCCGTCATCCAGTGCCTCCCGATGCTGGTGACCGACGCCCCGAACCTGAAGTATACGGAAGGCGTCGAGCACTTCCTGTGCCAGATGCCCGTCAACACCAAACCGTGGGTCGAGGACGGCGGCCGCGTCACCAAAGCCTGGTACGGGGTCGCCGGCGGCGCCGGCATGGTCAACCTCCCCAGCCACATGGTCGAGTTCTCCGTCGAGGCCGTGTACTCGCGGTCCCACTGCTGGAAGCTGGCCGAGTCGCTCGTGGGCGCCGACGTCAGCCCCGCCGTCGACGACGACCCCTACGCCTACTTCGGCATGGAAGACGGCCACATGAGCCCGCTGCAGCCGCCCCCGGGCTTCGGCGGCGACGATCCCCGGCCCACGAGTCGGGGGCGCGACCGGAGCAGCAGCTCGGGCCAGCCGGCCCCGATGCGCTCGCGCCCCGGGAGCGGGCAGTCGCTGAACCGCCGGAGCGTCGTGCTGGGGCTCGAACGGCTGCCGGCTGCCTTCGACCTGGACGAGAGCGATTGGCCGGGCAGCCGGCCGCTGAGCAGAGCGAGCTTCGGTGGGCGCACGGCGTCGCCGATGCGGGCCCGGGGAGCCGCCAGCCGGGGGGGGGGAGAGCCCGTTAGCGGGCGGGGGCAGCACGTTTGATGATATCCTGGGGAGTATGGACAGCGGTGCGAAGGACGAGGAGAAGGGGAAGAAGAAGAAGGCTGAGGATAAGAAGAAGGCCGAGGACAAGAAGAAGGCTGAGGACAAGAAGAAGGGGAAGAAGAAGAGCTTTTTCTAAAGCGGTAATGGTGGTGGACGCGAGACGCACGTCGGCATGCGCGACGCGAAGACGAGATGTACGGGTGATCTGTGCCGGGCGATTTGGAAAAGACCCGACTGCTCATGTTTCTTGTGGAGTTGCATAGCGAGGCGTTTAATCGGGGGGAGAGAGAGGGGTTTACTCTTTCCCGCCTCAGACGGCCTCGGAAGATGGCTATAATAGGTCCGCTCGAGGACAGACTAAAAGTTGAATGGATCAAGCTCAAGACTTGACAAGCGAGCATCTGGACTCTTGCCTGTGAGACTACTTGTTTGCTTGCTTGCTTGCTTGCATTTGCATCAGTATCAGTATCAGTAACAGTAACAGTATCAGCCAGACTCTCACGGTGAGACTAAAGCAAGTTAATGGGTTATTTAATTATGTTGTATATATATATATATACACATATACATATGTCTGTATATATATATATATCAACAATTGGCCAAAGACGAGTCTCCATCTCGGTGTTCATACATATGTTCATATGCACGTCAAACGGGGAGTGTACCGGTATCTCCCGTCTCCAGCGAACGATGGTTCGTTCGGGTGTATGAAACTTGAACGCAGTGCCAGGCCATGGCTTTGCTATGCTATGCTATGCTATTTATGCCATCTATGCTAGGCTATGGCTATGCCATTTATGCGATGCCATGCTATGCTATGCTATGCTCTGCTACGCCATACTGACACCGAAACTGACTCGCTCGTTCCATCCTCCGCGGCTTCGATGCACGCACTGTACGTACCTATATTTAGAAGTAACCGTGAGGGCGGTCCAGCCGAGAGCGATCAGGTAATCCCGGATCGGATCGGATCGGATCGGATCGGATCCGGTGCTGTGTGGATATTGAGAATTGAGAATGGAAGTGGAAATGGGGATGGGATGGGATGGATGGAATGGAATGGGCCAGGCCAGGGGGGCGGGGGGGG